TGCGGTGGCCGGGAGCAGCCACTGCACTCCAGTCTGGGCGACAGAGTGAGACTCCAACTCAAAAAAAAAAAAAAGTTTCCATTTACTTGTTCTTCTTAGGATACCAGTTCAAGCAATCAGGAAAGAAGTAAGTCCATGTTAATTATTACAGGTTCTCAGAGAAAGCATTGGTACCTATTGCAAGGGATCTACATACACCTCTGTGTGTACGTGTGTGTCTTTTTCAAAGGAGGTTTCAAAGTGCAGCTAGCCAGAGAGATTACCAGCTGAAGGGTCATTCATTCTCTAGTATCAACTTATAACTCTCACCACCGCAAGTACATTGCAAACCCTAACTTGGATTAAACTTGCTTTAAGAAAATGCTAGTGTACAGAACTCAGTACCATGAGTCAGGTTTTTGGTCCCAGCTCTGTCACAGCCATGTGCCCTGAGGCAACTGCCAAGCCTCTTGGGTCTCAGTCTCCTCTGTAAATGAGGAAATTAGGCCAGATGGCCTAAAGTCCCTTCCAGCATGAAATCAAAACAGAATCAGGCAGCAATATGTGCTGTTTAACCCCTGAGAACATTTTAGGCTAAAACGTGAAGTATATGCCCTAAAATGGTCATGTTAGATGTTCATTCAATTAAAAAGCTAGATATCCAAAGAAATGCACTAAATTCAGCTCACTTCTGACACATTCACTTGGGTGAGTGTAAACCTACTTATATATACAGCAGTTGCCCACAGGATGCCAACAAGCCTTAAGTGTGAACTCTCTATCCTGGGAGTTTCACAGCGATGCAACACATACCCAGTATCAGAAGAAAGACCAACAGTGTTAACAAAATTCAACCTTCCTGATGCCACACCACTGAGACTAAGCATTTTTTACTATACTTGGGTCTCTATTCCCTAATCCCTAAAATATATATAACATACCTAATCTTGATGGCATGTTATACAAATTTACTAAGAGTTGTAGATAAAAAGATTTCAGCTAATTAAAAAAATGGTTTTCAATGAATCAATTCTAAGAAGCTGGCCCAAAAAATAAGCTATAATAACTGTATCATTATATCAACTCATCTTTAATCACTTTAGTCTTTCTTCATTAAAAAAAAAAGAAAGAACTGTGAGGGAAGGTAATTTAAATAACAAACGAATAGCCTCTCCAAGTAACCTCTATGGCAGAGGAGTTTGAGTCTTTTGGCAGAATGCATGCATATGGCTCTTGAAAGGGATGTTCTAAATTGTGAGGGGCCAATAATCCCAGCACTTTGGGAGGCCTAGGCAGGTGAATTGCTTGAGCCCAGAAGTTCGAGACTAGCCTGAGCAACATAGTGAAACCTTGTCTCTACAAAAAAAAAAATCAAAAAAATTAGCCAGGCATGTTGACGTGTGCCTGCTTGAGAGGCTGGCGGGGAAGGATCGCCGGACCCTAGGAGGTCAAGGCTTTGGTGAGCCATGACCATGCCACTGCATTCCAACCTGGGCAATAGAGAGAGACACTGGCTTAAAAAAAAAAGTTGTGAAGGAGTTAGCTTAGGCCACTCCCTTCTGAACCCTGCAGTCTATAATTCTAGAACCCATAAAATCCAATTATGAGGAAGCCTGAGCTGGATGAGTCCTCCTTTAAGAGACAAAAGGCGGTTTTTTAACTGCCCTCTCCTGGAACATGTACTGCGTCCCTCCCTTGCCCCATAACATTCAACGTGTTTCAACACTCTCCTATGTCAACCCAACAGGTTCAGCAAGAAACATTCCTAAAATGAGCAGGTAGAGTAGGAAGCTGGATGCCAATCCTCACCCAGCCCATGGCCATTACACCCTTAAAAGCAGCACTTACACTTACCCTCTTCACAAGGTAGCCCTCCCTGATCCGCTTTGGTTCCATGTCAGATGGACAGACGGACAGAAGTTGCTCTCAAACCAGTCTTCTCAGCAGCTCGCCTGCTCTGTAAGCCTGGGCAGGCGGTTCCGGGCTGCCTTTTCTATAGCGGGACTCTTTCACAATTTCCCCTCTGCTGGCGGTCACATGATCACATCCTCTTCCCCTCACTGAGGTGGAAGATCAGAATAAGGAACTGCAGAGCTAACCCACCTCATTCTTTGCTAATGTTGGAAACTCATCAAAAGTACAGTTGGGTGGAATATTTACCCAAGGTAAATCTTTATTACCATAAGGAAAAGCATTCTCATAAAGAGAAAAAAAAATGATGAAAGGAAGAGGAACATGAAAGTCTTGGTGGAAACTGTCCTGAGATTATTCTTGAGATCCTGGAAATGTCCAATAAAAATGCCAAGAAATTCAGAACCATCTGGTTAGCATAACAGAGTGAACTGCTAAGTGAATGCCTACTTCTTTCTATGCCAGGCACTGTACCAAGGAGTTTTTCAGCCTATCTAATTTAAATTAAATGAGTCCTCACAAGAAACCCCTAGGGAAAGTATAAGGTCTGACAAGCTCATGAACTCACCCTAAAAAAAGTGCTACAGGCTGGGTGCAGTGGCTCAAGTCTGTAATCCTAGCACTTTGGGGGTCCGAGACAAGAGGATTGCCTGAGCCCTCGGGTTCAAGACCAGCTTGGACAACATGGTGAGATCTCTTTTCTACAATAAAAAAAATTAGCCAGGTGTGGTAGCACACGCCTGTAGTTTTGGCTACTTGGAAGGCTGAGGCAAAAGGGTTGCTGGTCGACGCTGGGGTGGCCATGAGTGTGCCACTACACTCTAGCCTGGGTGACAGAGTGAGACTCCAACTAAAAAAAAAAGTGCTACATACCTCATTGCTGAATATCACTATAGTCACCTTTGAAGTACGCCACTTGAGAAGCTGTGTACCAAATCAGCACCCAGTTCATCTGTCAAAGCAATTTTAGAACTCTTTCTGGAATGGCCATCAGAGCTGTTGTCACAACAATATCAGAGTTTGAATTAGAGCAATGAACAAACAGTAAATTTATTGTTAAACTTAGCAAGAGTAGAATGAAATCAGGGACATGTTAGTCCAAGTTTATGAGGATAATGCCATGAAGAAAATGGCAGTGTACAAATGGATTAAACATTTTTCTGAGGGGACAGAAAGCATCAGTGATGAAGAGAGGTCAGGGTAGCCAATAGCAAGCAGAACTGATGAAAACATTGCAAAAATTCATCAAATTGTGTGTCAAAATCATCAGATGACTTTGGGATGCATAGCAGACCAGGTAAACATCAATAAAGAAACAATTAGGAAAATCTTAGCTGAAAATCTCTTCATGAGAAACATGTTTGCAAAAATGGTCCCAAATGAGCTCTTGCATCATGACAATGCACCAGCTCACACAGCACTGTCTGTGACAGAGTTTTTGCCAGTAAACAAATAACTGTATTGGAATCCCCTCCCTACTCACCTGATCTGGCCCCCAATATCTTTTTTTCTTTACTTGAAGATAAAGGAAATATTGAAAGGAAGACATTTTGATGACATTCAGGATGTCAAGGGTAATAGGATGACAGCTCTGATGGCAATTCCAGAAACAGTTTCAAAACTGCTTTGATGGGTGGACTAGGTGCTGGCAATGGTGCATAGCTTCCCAAGGGGAGTACTTCAAAGTGATATTTCAGAGATGAAGCATGTAACACTTTTTCTAGGATGAGTTTGTGAACTTAATTATCAACCCTCATATATTATTGTCCCTGTCTTAGAGAAAGAAAACAAAAACAAAAACACCTCAGGCTCAGAGAAGAAGAGCAGTTGTCTCAAGGTGATACCACAGGTAAGAGATGAGACCTTAACTAGGGTGCTGTTGCCTCCCACTGGGCATGAGACAGATATTCCACATTGAATGCTAATCCCACAATAGGCCTGTAAAAAGAAGTCCATAATCAGACAGGTTTTTGAGAAACTGTGTGTTATATTCCCAGTATGGCAACTCCTTTCACAGATTAAGAAATTAAGATGCCTTGCCGCAGAAGTATTTCAGAAAAAAATCCTATCATGGTGTTTCCCAAACTTATTTGACCACAGAATTCTTTTCTTTTTTTTTTTTTGGTTAATGTCTCACTCTTTCACTCAGGCTAGGGTACAGTGGCACAATCACAGCTCACCACAGCCTTGACTCCCTGGCCTCAGGTGATCCTTCTGCCTCAGGCTTCTGAGTATCTGGAACTACAGACACATGCCATTACACTTGGGTAATTTTTTTTTTTTTTGAGATTAGGTCTGGCTACATTTCTCAGGCTGGCCTAGAAATCCTGGGCTCAGCCGGGCTCGGTGGCTCAGCCTGTAATCCGCGCCTTTGGGAGGCTGAGGTAAGTGGATTGCCTGAGCCAGCGGGTTCGAGACCCGCCTGGGCAGCGAGACCTCATCTCTACAATAAATCAAAAATCAGCCGGGCGTGGTAGCACGTGCCTGTAATTCCGGCTACTCGGAAGGCTGAGGCGGAAGGATCGCCAGAGCCCAGCGGGTCGAGGCTGCAGTGGCCGGGAGCGGCCACTGCACTCCAATCTGGGCAACGGAGTGAGACTCCAACTCAAAAAAAAAAAAAAGAAAGAAAGAAACCCTGGGCTCAAGAAATCCACCCACCTCGGCCTCTTAAAGTGTTGGGATTACAGGTACGAGCCGCCATGCCTGCCCTGACCATGAAATTCTTTTTTGAGCAATTTCTATTAACCTTTTTGTAATAGCTTGAATTGTCTTCCAAAACAGAAGTCCTGGCCAGGCATGGTGGCCTACACCTGTAATCCCAGTACTTTGGGAGGTAGAGGTGAGAAGATTGATCCCCTGGGTCCGGGAGTTCTAGATTAGCCTGGGCAACTTGGAGAGAACACATCTCTACAATAAATCAAAAACTTAGCTAGGCATGGTGGCACACACCTGTAGTCCCAGCTACTTGGGAAACTGAGGCAGAAGGATCACCTGAGCCCAGTAAGTCGAGGCTCTGGTGGTGGTGAGTGTGCCACTGCACTCCAGCCTGGGTGCCAGAGTGAGACTCTGACTCCAAAAAAAAAAAAAAGAAGTTCTAACCCCTGATACCTCAGAATGCCACCTTGTTTGGAAATAGAGTCATTGTAGATGTAATTAGTTAAAGGGAAGTCATGCTGGAGTAAGCCAGTATGACTGGTGTCTTTATAAGAAAAGGAAAGAAATGTACAGAGAGAAAGCAGACACATGATGACAGAGGCAGAGACTGGAGTGATGCATTAGCAAGACAAGGAACACCAAGTATTTATTGCCAGCCACCACCAGAAGCTGGAAGAGGCAAGCAAGGTTCCTTCCTTAGGGCCATCATAGAGTCCGTGGGCCTGCTAACACTTTGATTTCAGATGTCTAGCCTCTAGAACTGTGACACAATACATTTCTGTTGTGGTTTCCAGTTTGTGGTACTTTGTTATGGCAGCCTCAGGAAGCAAATATAATTCTGAAAAACGAATATTCTATGGAACAAACTTGGAGAAATCTTAATCTGGCTATATGAAAATAAGCAAGTTACTTTGTTACTTTGTGTCTCAGTTTTCTCATCTGTAAAATGAGAATGATAACACCTATCCCATGGAGTCATTCTAAGATTAAGATATACATGTAAGTATTTAGAAGAATGTCTGAAAATTGTAAGTATCTATAAATATTAATCATTCCTCATCTTGAAGGCAGGGCTCTATTATCCTAGGACTGATCATTTTTTATGAAAAATTCAAGAGAAATCACAGAAGTGATCCTAGGGCTAGATTTCTGACTAGTTCCCTTTCCTCATTACATCAGTCAGTAATTTTTACCAATGCTCTCTAATATAGGCAAATAGGAATTTACTGGAAGAGAATGAGGAGGGTCATAGGCTGAAAGAAAAATGAAGATGTGAGTCCCTGAAAGGAGCCAAGGCAGCTATGGGTTCCAGGAAGCAAGACACCAAGTTGAAAGATGTGGAGGCTCTATGATACTCTCCAGGGATCAGGCCTCCGACTGGCCCAACATGACTTAGTGCTTCCCTCTCAGGTGTCTGAAGGGAAGCCATGTGAACTGACAGCCCCACAGAATTGTGTTCGATGGGGGAAAGGGATTGTACCCCAAAGTAAAAATCAAGGTGCAATGAATTGTATAAGAGTGAAAGGTCCCTAGGCAGGCAAAGCCAGCAGACATCCATGAAGGCATCTGAGGAGCCAGGGAAGTCAGGAGAAAGAAGTTCTGCTCTTGAGGCTTTCTGAGAGCTTCATGATTCCCACCCCTCATTCCTCCCAGCTACAATTCTAGCCCGCAGTAACTGCCCCTGTTTTCCACTTTCATTTTATGCTAATGTGGGTTACATAACATTGTAGATCTCTTGCCATCAGTTTCTCATTGTACCAAAATTAATTAGAAATTATTAGGAAGTATTGAGGGTGGCAGTGAAGGAATTAATCTTTGATGACACCTGCCGGGCGTGGTGTCTCAGGCCTTTAACCAGCACTTTGGGAGGCAGAGGTGAGAGGATTGCTTGAGTCCAGGAGTTCAAGACCAGCCTGGGCAACATGGTGAGACTTCATCTCTACAATAAATCAAAAAATTAACCGACTGTAATGGTGAGTGCCTGTAGTCCCAGCTACTTGAAAAGCTGAGGTGGAAGGATCACCTGAGCCAAACAGATTGAGGCTGAGATCACGCTAATACACTCCAACCTAGGCGACAGAATGGGACTCCAACTCCAAAAAAAAAACGACACCTGAGTAAACAGGAACTAATCAAAGGATGATTTGTTGTTGTATCTGATTCAAACAAGTATTTTGCTATGTCTGTACAGTCAATGGAAACCGTTTGTAGACTTACCAAGCATGATTTTATAGCTAAATTTATCTCCCTTTATTTAATTAACTAAGTGATTTCTAACTTGGACTGTTTCCTCCCTTTGTCCTGGCATGATCAGAAGGCTTTAAAGAACAATTACTAAGAAATGCCGTATTTTCAGGAGATGCCTAGAGTAAAGTAAAATCACCCCTGCGTTCTGAATAATTCATTTCAAGAACCATAGTATTGAGGGCTTACTATGTGCTGGAATAGGTGTAGGAATGGAATAGATATAGGGTAAAAATGTCTTGCCACCAATGAACTTCCCAAATTTG